AGGCTGACCTCAAATTTGTAATTGTCTTGCCTCAGCTACCCAAGGACTGCTGGGGTGTGCCACTGCACCCAGCTGAACTATCAACGTGAATAAATATTGATAAATATCAAACAATTTCAATTAACTTACAAATATACACAATTTTATGAGAAGTATTGGCTTATTTAATCTTCTTTTTTTAAAAAAAACATAGTTTTTTTAATTAATTTTTTTTAGGAATTTCACATCATGGGCCCCAGTCTCACCCATTTCCCAGGCCTTCAGTATCTGCACTTGAAGCACCGCCCTGACAAAGGAAAACTAAAAAATAAAAAATATAAATAATTTTTAAAAAACCAAAGCAAAACAAAAACAAACAAACAAATAAAACACTTCCTTCCTCCATCTTTCCCGCCTCTCCATCAGCTCTTCGTTCATCCTGGTGTCATTGGGAGCTGCTATGTATCACACAGTAGACCCTTTTGCCCACACAGCTTTACTTGCAAACGTCCATTGTGTACTTTGTTGCTGGTCAGGTTCAAGGCCTCTGGCTTCTGATGCACCGTCAATACTGGACCCTCACCTCATCTCCTCTCGGATATCCTGCTCTTGCCCTGAGTCATGGAGATTCTGTGGCTATCATTCCACAAGACCAATCCCTTCACACACTCCAGCAGGTCATAGATGGGGTAGATGTTGGGGAGTGCCTACGTAAAGCCCTGGATGTGTGTCTGGGTGACACCTGAGTCTGGGTCACTGGGACACCCCCCCCCTCAGGTTAGGGGCGGAGCCAGATCTCCCATGCTAGGGGTGAGAGGTGAGGCCCACTTTCCCAAGTGTAGGAGGCCAGCTCTTCTCTTAGGGGCGGGGCCAGCTATCCCATGCTGGAGTAATTGGGGTCCATTATCCCAGAGCCGGCAAGGGGCGGAGCCAGCTCAACACGGCCCTGTACTGCAACACATGGTTCACACATGTTTTGCATGGGCCCCTGGGGTATCATGGACAATGAACATCAACACAGACCTCAGTTGCGGTAGGACCACAGTCCCAGACATGGCCAACAGCAGCAGGTTGGTCCCAGATATCACCATGGCCCGGGTAACAACACAGACCTCTCAGATAGGACAGGACCCAGCCCCAGTGTGATTCCTGGAGTCCCATATGGCCCCAGGTGGCAGCCCAGACCCTGGACAGTTGCAAGGCCTTTGATGGTAACAGGAGCCACAGATCTCAACACAGACCCTGCCTGAGGTAGGGCCACAGATCCAGGCATGACCCTTGGCAGCAGCTCAGGCCAGTCAACACCATGGCCACTAGTGGTAATGCAGATCGACGTGGCCCCAGCCACAGCATGTCCCTAGGTCCCCAGCATGGCTACAGGTAGTAGCCCAGAACCTGGGCATCTGTGTGGTCTTTGTTGGCGACATGGGTCATGAACACCAACACAGACCAGCTACAGTAGGACCCAGACATGGTCCATGGCAGCAGCCCGGCCTGGCCCGGATGCCACCATGGCCCTGGGTGGCAATGCAGCCCACTCAGATCGGGATGGCTCCTTTGGTGACATGGCTCTCAGGCACCAATGTGGCCACATGTTGGCCACATCCTCAAGGCCTTTGGTGGTAACAGGAGCCATGGACATCAACATAGAACACAGCTGCGACAGGGTCACAGACCCAGACATGGCCCTTGGCCGCAGCCCAGACCCAAATGTCACCAAGGCCCCAGGTGGCAAGCAGGCCTCCCACATCAGCCCATTACTGACTGCCTTTGCCTCTTCAGATCTGCCTCTCTCCACAGGACATGAGCCATTCTGCCTCTCTCTCTCTCTCTCTCTCTCTCTCTCTCTCTCTCTCTCTCTCTCTCTCTCTCTCTCTCTTTCTCTCTCTCTTTCTCTCTCTCTCTTCTCTCTCTCTCTCTCTCTTTCTCTCTCTCTCTTCTCTCTCTCTCTCTCTTTCTTCCATACCCCACCATATATTTGCTCATCATAATGGCGCTGGATGACCTGCACTGCAAGGCAAGTCCATGATTTCTTCTCCCCACCTAGGACAAACGGCCCCAGGTGGGCATGTGTGTGTCCTTCTCATTTTCTTTTCTTAAGTAATGTTCTATTTATTGTTTGTTTGAAATTCTCATATATGCATACAATGTATTTTGATCATATCCTCACAACACCACCTCCTTCCAACTCCCCTTAGGATCTACCAACCATCTTTTTCCTGATTTGTTGTCCTATATTATTATTACTATTACTATTATTACTATTACTACTATTATTAGCCTTCTGCATCCAATTAGTGCTGACCATATATGAATGAAGTTGGGGCCATCTGATGGGGTGTGGGCAACCTACCAGCAGCCACATCCTCCCACAAAAAAAAAATGGCTCTCCCTCCCCCAGCATCCATCTACCGCCAGTAGGTCCTCGGCTACAGGTGGGGCCTCTCCCATCCAGGCTGGATTTCCCTGGCTTGATCTTGTGCTGAGACCCCCAGCTGCTGTGCATTGATCTGGCAGCTCACATCCAGGAGGCAGCACTTGACAGCTCTCCTCCTAGTCCTCTGGCTCTCTCGTTCTTTCTGCCCTCCCTTCCACCATGTTCCCCGAGCCTTGGATGGAAGAAGATAATATAGATGACCCACCTGTGGCTGAATACCCACCATCACTTATTCTCAGCACTTTTTCAGCCAGTTATGAATCTCTGCGTTAACCACTCGGCAAAAGAAGCTTCTCTGCCCGTGGTTTCAAATCTATGAGTATAAATCTAAGTAGTAAGAGGGTAGTTTGACATGGCTGCCATGCAACACCACCAGTAAGTGCCTCCCTGGGATCTAGGATCTCCCCAACATCCTTTAAATCCAGCTGGAGAGACCTGTTCTGTCATCCTGTCTATGGGTGGATGAGCACGCTACCTGATTTGTAACTTCTTCATTTCTGAAGATCACCTTACACGTCTGCCCCTTAAGTTCAAAAACATGCCTCTGTCCCTCACGATAACTTACAATAATTATTTTCACAAAATCAGACTTTTAAAAAGTCAGAAGTTAAAGTATGAAAGCTGACTTATTCTAAGGGATGGACCTAGAGATGCCCTTTAGACAAATGGAATGTAGCGAAAGTATCAGCATGCCACTTCCATGCGTAGTCTATAAAAGACTGATTTGTCTTCTGGGTGCTCGCTCTCTCCCTCCCTCTCCCCATCACCTCTTTTCTTCCCTCTCTGCCAATTCCTCTGAGAGGACTCATGTCCATGTTCTCAGCTGTGCTATACAGAGGCCTGATTGGAAAGAAACTCAGAGCAACTTCTGCCCCGCAGCCACAGTGAGGACTCAGTCCAGTAACTCTTGAGGAATTCAATGCTTCCAACCACCGGGAGTGAGCTTTGCAACCCCTTCCCCACTGGAACCTGAGACAAGACCCATGATATGATCAGTACTGATTGGCTGTAACGTGTCAGAATCCCTGGAACAGATACCCACAGAAATTGTACACAGATTCTTAAAACTGTGGCATATGGATACTGCTGTTTCAAGCCACTAAGGTGTAAGTTAGTTTTTACATGGCAATATCTAGGTAAAACAATTTGCTAAGCAAGTGTGGCTCACCAATCAAAACATAAAAGTTCTAAAAGCCAGTGAAGGGTCTTAGCTGTTTGGACATTGTGCGTATCAAATGTCCTACTCATTATATATATATGAAAAAGTATTTGTTAATGAATAGATGGACAAATAATTGACAAAACAAAGAAATACATACCACAGCAACAGAGACTATGGCTTTGGGGCTATTGTTTCCCAGTTTTTAGTTAGAGGAAAGTTACATGACTAGTAGTGTTTTAATAAGTTATCTGAGGTAAATGATGATATATGAACAGTTATATCATGTACCAGTAACGTCCATATTAAAGGGGATATAATTAAATGATTCATTGTTAATAATCAATAACTAATACTAAAGTTGAGACTGAAAATTACCCAAACCCTAACAAAGATGTCTCCCTCTGGGACAAAAGGGGGGACTATATGACACACGGAGGCCCCCGGTGCCGCCAGGATGAATGAAGAGGCGATGGAGAGGTGGGGAAGAAAGAGAAGCGAAGAGGTTTTTGTTGTTTGTTGTTCTGTTTTGGGTTTTTTGGAGGCCGGGGTGGTTCTTGTTGTTGTTGTTGCTGTTGTTGTTGTTGTTGTTGTTTGCCTGCTTGCTTGCTTATATGGGTTTTTTTTTTTTTGGTGGGGGTGCTGCAGGGGTGAGGGGAGGATATGGGGGGCACTGGGAGGTGAGCAGAATTGGGGTGCATGATGTGAAACTCCCAAAGATTCAATAAAGAAGTTAAATTTGAAGGCTGGAGAGATGGCTCAGCAGTTAAGAGCATTGGCTAATCTTCCAGAGGTCCTGAGTTCAATTCCCAGCAACCACACGGTGGCTCACAACCATCTGTAATGAGATCTGGTGCCCTCTTCTGGCCTGCAGGGATACGTGCAGACAGAACACTGCATGATAAATAAATAAATCTTTAAAAAAAAAAAAAAAAAAGGCCGGGCGATGGTGGCACAGGCCTTTAATCCCAGCACTCAGGAGGCAGAGGCAGATGAATCTCTGTGAGTTCGAGGCCAGCCTGGTCTCCAAAGCGAGTTCCAGAAAAGGCGCAAAGCTACACAGAGAAACCCTGTCTAAAAAAAAGAAGAAGAAGAAGTTAAATTTTTAAAAATGGCCACTGGACTGGGGAGATGACTGTCAGGGGAGCAACTGCCACTCAAGGGTGAGGAATCTAGTTCAATCTCCAGAATTCAAATTACAAATGAATAAATAAATAAAACAGAAAAAATTCTCCCCCTTTGGTTTGCACATTGTTCAATATCTGGAATTCATAGAAACAAATATAGTCAGGATTTTAACCGCAAATAATAACATTTGTGCTTTTTACACTCTGGAAAGGGCATAATTACACATAATTACAAACACACGAGTGTGAGGAAAGCCACAGACAAGCAGTGGAGAAAGGACATGATTTTTCTGCCAACCTGGGCCTGCTCTGTAGACACGTGACTTGGAGTGGCACACCTCATCCTGCGGCTTTGATATTGGAGTGGTCTATGCTGTCCATGGCAGCTCGTGGCCCAGGAAATAGAGCTAGCAAATAAAAACACAGAATGATTACATTCTAAATTTCATATTAACAATAAATAGTTTTCATATGTGTCCCAGAAAACCATTTGTCATTTATCTGAAATTCAAACCAAAGTGATGTTATGGGATGTGTCTATCCCTAAGTTCATTGGTTGAATTCCCCACCACTGCCCTGACTGTATGTGAAGAAGGGCTTTTAAGTACACTTAAGTGAGATCATGAATGTAGAATTCTAATCTAACAAGATGAGTGGGCTTGTGAGAAGGGGAAGAAATGCAGAATCTGTCCGTGTGTACACATCAAGGAGAGGCCACAAGGACACCGTGACAAGGTGGCCACTGGAAGAGATCTCCCTCCAGGAACCAAACCAGCCTTGGTTATAACAGCCGTCAGAAATGTGCAAGAACAAATTCCTACCTAGTCTGTGGATTTCCACACACTCTGTATTTTACTTGTCAGCTCTATCAGTGAGGCCAGATATGAGGGAAAAGGGAAAGAGAAGCAAAGACTCTGTTCTCTGATGTCTCTACTGACCTTGCTTTATCTAAAACCATGGTGCAGAACTAGCTGTCAACTTTCAATGCACACTATGCCTCAAGCTGCACTTTTGATGGCTCTTGATGTGTGTCTTGATACCACCCTCGTGAGCATGTGCATGTGAGTGTGTATGTATGTGTGAGTGTGTATGTATGTGTGTGTGGTGTGTGTGCACTCACAAGCTCACATATGTACATATGTGTGTTATTAGGAAGAAGAAAACAGGGATATGTGATCACATTGGCTTTTCACTCATCGAAAGAGAGGCTGTATCAAATCAGAGCAGTATCACCGTGACATGTCCAAACATTAGTCCTACTGATTTTTCTTCCTTGGTAAAATATGTATGAAAGATACTTTGGGGAAATCTTTGAACTGGATTCTTGTTGTGTTGTGGGGGCGGGGAGGGAGAGCAATCCTATACAGTGCATAATGCTTAGAGTGTTGTTGCTTTTTAATCTCCAAGTGGCAAACACTACTCACGTTACCAAATACCACTCATGTCACTGCTTGGATACCTTTAAATTAATCTGTATGGTGAGCTATTTGAGGGAGGCTTGACACTAAAACAGTAATTCCTGGATTTATGTTATAAGGCCCATATTCAGGACTAACAAGAGGTCACGAGTGTGGAATCACCTAGAACATGTGATTCAAATGAAGCCAACCCAGACGGAAAGAATGTTCCCTAAATATCATTATGCTAAGCACGTGTACGAGTGTGCATATGTGTGTGTGTGTGTGTGTGTGTATGTGTGTGTGTGTAAGGAATAGGGTCAACTCAGAGAAATATAGTCAGTACTCAGATGTCTATTTTCACTGCTGTCCTAGAGAAAAATTTTTGTCATGACACACTTGTCATAATTAAGGAGTAAGAGTCATAATTTGGGTATGGGAGTCAACCCTCAACTCCAACCTCCCACGCATTATCTACCTCAACCTTCAACTCCAACCTCCCACTCATTATCTACCTCAACCCTCAACTCCAAGCCCCAAACTTGTAAGATCAGGAAACTCCTCCATCATCAGAATCAGCAGATACTTAGGAGAAAAAAAAAAAAAACACAGCCACTGGCATTTCCTTCCAGCTAAATCTGAGGCGGCAAATTTTCCAGACATACATAGGGACTGAGGCTGGGACAAGGTCACCTGCCGTAGAAGTTTCAATGCACACCTTAGTGGTGGCGCTCACAGTGGAGACCTAGTAAAAATATGCTGCTTACTGCATGAAGAGAACGTGACACCTTTGAGGAAATGGTAGCTAGGGTTAGGCACCTCCTAGGAAATGGAGTCCAGCCCTATGCCTGAAAAGATTTCAATGATAAGACCATTTCCTAATCTCTTCCATGTATGGGAGAACTAAGGAAGCCAATAAGAGACTATCACCAACAGGAAACTATCACCACCCATAAACCCAATAGAGCAAGAGAAGAAGGAAAGGGTCCTTCCTAAATGCAAGGAAAGCTGGTGCACAGCTATGCATCCTTCCCAAGAGAAGGTGTAGTCATGGGCAAAGGCCGTCTGCTGTGGGATGTCTTTCTGTATGCTGTGAATATGTGTTGTCTGATTGGCTGATAAATAAAGCTGCATTGGCCTATGGAAAGGCAGCTTAGAGGCAAGCAGGAAATCCAGGAGGAAGATAGGAAGAAGAAAGGCAGAAGTGAGAGAGACACCAGCACCGCCAGAAGCAAGATGTAAATACTGGTAAGCCATGGCCACGTGGCAACTTATAGATTAATAGAAATGGGTTAAGTTATAAGAGCTGGCTAGTAAGAAGCTTACCATAGACCATACAGTTTGGAAATAATATTAAGCCTCTGAGTGATTGTTTTATAAGCAGCTGTGGGATTGTGGGTAAGAGAGATTTGACCCGACCATGGGCCAGGCGGGACACAGGAAAATTTCCGACTACAGCAGCAGCTGAAGAAATCAGGCTTAAGCGGGAACAGAGTGAAGATTAGATGTCCCTTCTCTCCAATGGTCTCTGCCATTCACCACAATCTATTAGCAAAAGAGCCCATGTGATATGGTATAGAAGCTCAGTGCCCCCAGTGCATGACCAGGACAGGGACCTGCAGAGGTCCAACTGGTCCCAGAAATGAACAAAGCAAAAACTCACCCAGGACACTTCATTTCTGAGTTGCACAGCATTGCTCTTTGAAATAGCAGAAGCCTGTCTTTTGTTAAATAATTTCATAAATATCCATCAGAGTTCAATGAGTCTGCAAAATCAAGTGCATTGTAGTGGTGTTTTTACTTATTAAATACTTGGGCATAAAGCTCTTTGCCAGAATCTAGGATGACAGGCTAACAATGACAATAGCTAACACTGGTAGCTATTTGCAGCCCACTTACCACATTCCATATCCAGCTAAGTGCTATGTGGGCATCGTTTTACTGCATTTGTGTGCCAACTTCATGGCTGTATGAGTTGGATTCAGTTTCCTTAATATTACTGACATCTGACTCGTAATGTGTATGGGTTAGTTGCTGTCTTAGTTAGGGTTTCCATTGCTATAAAGTGACACCATGGCCACAGCAATGCTTATAAAGGAAAACATTTGAATGGGGCTGTCATACAGGTCAGAGATGTAGTCCATTATTGTCATGGCGGGAAGCATGGTGGCACGCAGTCAGACATGGTGCTGGAGAGGTAGCTGAGAGTTCCACATCTGGATCCGAAGGCAGCAGGAAGTGACTGAGACACACTTCCTCCAACAAGGCCACACCTACTCCAACAAGGTCACACCTCCTAGTAGTGCCACTCCCTATGGGCCATTTATATTCAAACTACCACAGTTGCTTAATGTCAGCTGTCCCGATTGAAATTCACATTAATCTAACTGCAAATCTTGGTCCCTGACTTTAGGGAGCACATAGTTCGGTGGCGACTGGTTACTGAGAGAGGACTAGGTAGATAAATAGATAATAGATGGACAGATAATAGATACATTAGATAGGCAGGCAAGCAGGCAGACAGACAGACAGATAGATAATTGGACAGAGTGAAGAAAGTCCTTTCCACACAGTGACCCTCTAGAAAGAATTACATGAACTGTAATAAGTGAATGCACTTAAAACCAGGCACATGAAGGGAACTCCCTGGAATGTCCACATTATCTCTGTGAGAAAGGCATAGGCTCACGCCCCTACCTTAGTGGCTCTCAATTCTGGCTGTACTATTAGTATCCTTTTCAAAACTGCCCTGCAATCCTTCTTAAGCCATTTACACTGCAATTCTTAGGACTGAAATAGTGGTTTTAACTCCTCCTTGAGAAACTATTACATTTAGCCACAGGTGAGAACAAATGAATTATTCTGAAATTTATTGTAAATAGGAGCAATGTTCTATATTATATCTTACAACTGTCTTACATATAGTTCAATGTTAAATCAAGGAAACTTAAATAAAATGATTAATGGAGGTAATTCATGAGCGGGGATATTCCTAAAATAACATTGTAGTTATATTGCTTGGGAGGACTCCAGTGAAAAAAAATGAAATTCCTTAATTATTTTTTCTTCAATTTGTAAAGGACCAGGACCCTTGTAGTTTTCCTAATGAGTGATCAGCACACACTGTTTCCTCAAGAGGCATGTGTTCATCCAAGGGTCAGGAAGCTAACTGAGCTATTTCCATCAACATCCTACAAGTAGCCTGTGAATTGGAGGAAAGAAAACCACAGGGAAGTCATAATGGGTTTGGTGACCTGGTGCGGATGTCCTGAAGCTTTATAATTGTAGGGGAGGAGGAGGAGGCAAAAAGAGGGGGTGGGGTGAGAGACACTACATAGAGCACCCGGAATGAAAACACACCCACAGGACTGGAGTCAAACAGGAAGGCAAGAGGGCTCTGTGATACATTACCTATGATCTGGATCTGGCTAAGCTAAGAGAGTTAATGAAGTAGTGAAGTCTGTAAGCCTGTAACATTTATTTTCAATCATTGATGTGAACAGCGAGAGGGAGGGAGCGGGAAAACCTGCAGAGGAAACCATTTGCTTAGGTGCATAAAAAAGAGGGAGAGAGGGCACCAAGAGGGACTGCGTCTGTAGCAGGTGGATAAGCATTTCAAACCACCAGAAAGAACTGCAAAGGCAAGGACCAGATGGACTTGATTATTGCCACCGCTGCCGTGAGGAAAAGGGTCTCGTGTTTCTGAAACCTGGGAGCAGCCCCGCTGTTTCTTTACTGCTCTTCAATTTCATGCGGGTAGAGGGAAGTTTGAGACAACTTCAGTATGCTTAATTACATTTTCCTCACATCACCAGGGAGGCTACCTGGAAAACAGGACCCCAAGAAAGATACAGGGATCACCCAATGACAGAGAAATGGAATGAGATCTACATGAACAGCCTGGACATGAGTGGGGGTAATGAAAGGCGAGGGTTGAGGGAAAGAGAGCTTGGGGGAGCGGGAGATCCCAACTGGATCAACAACAGAGAGGGAGAACAAGGAATAGGAGA